TGATTTGCACCTCTCTCCCATATATGGCTTTAGCTGCCTCTTCTATAACTGGCTCTGAAAGTAATAATTGATTTAACATTTCTGTTAATCAACCTTATTATCCAAGCTGCATTACTAATGAAAGTATTACAACACTTAATATTGCTAGCATTATTTCTATGTGCCAAAGAGTGGAGGTATGGATACCAGTAAACCTTACTCGACAAAGGAAAGGTGAATGTGACTTAACACAATTAGTAAATCATTAGGACATTCTTCTAAAAAGAGGTTCATTGGGTGGCTCATGGAATTTATCATTTCAGCCATAGTCATTGCTGCTACTGCAACTATTTCAGTCACACCCTTGGCAGAATCAGTCCAAACGGCACATACAGTGGCTGAAGTGATGACTAATGTTACTAAAGATATGGTTTTCCAGACGGAGGTTGATCAAGGGATTCTAGCTTGATTAGACACCTTAGAAGCAGCTGTATTTTGCCTGGGAGAGCATGAGGAGGCTTGGCCACTCACTCTACATTACACTGTGATTGGGAGTTTAGTCATAGTATGTGTATAACTGTATTACCTTGGAATGCCACCTTCCACTATTAAACAATGGTGAAGCAATACCTGCAAGTAGCATTTGCTGGAAACCTTGGAGGGCAATTAACCAATCTAAAAAGGGCTCAGGAAACAGTTAGTAGATATACAACAGCTTGCTCAACAGAATGCTTTGAAGGCTATCTCAGCTAATGTCTAATGGCTCAACCCAAAGCATCAATTTGAGGGTTTCAATGTTAGAATTTGAATTTTTTCCACAATTGCTTGTTTTCTTGTTTGTGTTGGCCTCATGGTACTCTGAGGGCTCCCGTGAATGGTGTCCTCTATGCAGAAGACTGAAAAGTGAGTAATGACACTCTTGTCCACTGTAGCTGTGGCGTTTCCTTAGTGTCAAGAAATGAAAAATCGGGGAAATGTAGGGTTGAAGGTTTGGTGGTTGAACAAGATGTAATCGTGAGATATGTGTTCTCGAAGCCTGGCCGGCCAAAGACAAAAGTATGTGTGAGAAACACCAGGTTGGAAAACCGCCCACCAAGGGAGTAAATGTGTAGCCAGAAAAGTAAGAAAGCTGTGTCAGCAGAGATGCTATCTCAAGGACATGATTACCTAAAGCACAGTGTAACCAAGCGAACTGCTTTGCAAATAAACCAGGCTGCATCAGAGTTCAGGAGCATGTGCTCCCTTTCAGTGCTCCCCCTCACTCCAAGAGCATGTGCTTGTAGCTCAGTGCTTTGTGAGGACCCCAGGCATGCCGAGAGTAGGCAGGTAGCATACATTCTTATCTTCTCAAATTGCCAACTACTTTCTCCTGTAACTCTTTTCTGTGTTTGTTGTTTCATTTTAAGGGCTTAATATTGGGTACATACAAATTTAGAATTGTTATTATTATCCTAGTGAGCTAAATCTTTTTATTATTATGAAGTGTGTGCCCTTATCACTAGACAAGAAAAACCTACTTTGCATAATACTTATAGCTACATCTATTTTGATGATTACTGTTTGCATCATATATCTTTCCCATTCTTTTTCTTGCAATTTTTATTAATTTATTTTTGTTATAGATTCTTTTTCATTTTAATTCTATTTTTATGTTATTGATATATTTCCTGTAGACACCATATAGTATTTTTTTCAATGTAGCCTAACCATTTTTGTCTTTTAATGAGAATGTTTTGTCATTTTACATTTTAAATGATTACTTAAATATTTGGGGTTTAATGTGATACCTTGCTTTTTTTCATTTATGTTCTGTGTATCTTTTGCTCTTTTTTCTTTTCCCTTTTGGATTGGTTGTGTATTTCATGTTTTCTCTTTGGTTAATTTTGGAAGTTATGAACTGTTTTACTCTTCTTATTTGGGTTACCTTAGACAGTACAAAATGCATCCCTGACTTATCAAAATCTAATATTATTGTACAGATATGGGCCACCTACCTTCTGGATACATTTTGGAAAACACGTTGTTTGCGAGCTGTTGCAGGGCATTTGTGGTAGAGTGCACGTACACAGACCCAGAGAGTAAGGTCTCCTGTAGGCCTGGGCAATATGGTGCAGCTGTTGTTCCTAGGCTAAAATACTGTACAGCATGTCACTGTGAAAACCAATGTGAGAGCCAAGGCTGGCTTGACTCAGTAGTTAGAGCATTGACCCAAGGACCAAAGGCCTCGGTTTCGTTTTCAGTCAAGGGCATGTACCTGGGTTGCAGGTTCAATCCCCAGTCCTGGTGAGGATTGTGCCAGAAGCAACCCATTCTTGTGTGTGTCTCACATCTATCTTTTTCTCTCTTTCCCTCTCTCCCTAACACTCTATCTGAAAAACACTTAATGGAAAAATATCGAGTTAGGATTAAAAACAACAACAAAAATAAACATCTTGAGATTAAGTCCAGCACAAGAGAAAATGATGCAGGCAAGAGACAGTAATCCCAAGATGTATGAGGCTGCTGCCATTGTATTAGTCCATGTTTTACAGAACTGTTCTTTTATATAGAAAATTACCCTCTAAAATAATGATAAAATGTGTAATACAGTAACTGCATAATCCAGCAACATAGTTGTTTATTATCATTATCAAATGTTATGCACTATGCATAATTGTATGTACTTTTATATGACTGGCAGCACACTGGGTTTGTTCACACCAGCATCCCCACAGACACGTGAGTAATGCCTTGCGCTATAATGTTATGATGGCTAAAACCAGGCCATTGGGATTTTTCAGCTCATTATGATATTATGGGACCACCATGGTAGATGCCGTCTGTTGCTGACCAAAATGTCATTAAGCGGCTCATGACGGCAATTGTATTTTATTCTCTTTCCAAAAATTGCAAGGACTTTAAAAATTTTACCTCCATTTTTCTTCCACAACATCTATGCTGTCATGTCATTTGATTTTCTATATGTTTAAAATTCCATAGGCATTATTACTATAGCTTTAAATGGTCAATATTTATTTAAATTTCTATTGACATTTTTCTTGCTTTTGTTATTTTTTTACAACACTGATGTTCCTTTTGCATAAGTAATATTCTCTAGAATTTTTTAAAGGTCTACTGAAGGTGAAATATCTCTCAGTTTTTGTTTGTCTGAAGATCTCATGGGGAGTATTATTCCTGGGTATAGAATAATTCTGGGTTGAAGGGTTTTTGGGTAGTGTTTTCCTCAGCATGTTAAAGGAATCAGTCTATAATCTCTGGCTCTCATAACCGCTGCTACTAATAGCTGTTCCTCTGAGGATACTTTGTCTTTTTTCTTTGGTTGTTTTTATTTTATTTCTTCCATGATCATCTCTTCCGTCTTTGGACTTCTGCAGAGTCACTAGGATATGACTAGAGATAGATTTCTTTGTTGTATCCTACTTGGGAGTTGAGTAGGACTTCTAAAATTTGTGAATTGATGTTTATATGTTTAGAATAAACATTTTAAATGTTAGGTCTTTAAATATTATTCTGCACCATACTTTCTCGTGTCTTCTCTTTTCCTGTTAAGCATCTTTTTACTGACTATTTTGAGTTTCTTATCTTTCCTTTTATAATTTCCACTCTTTGTCTTTCTAGGCTATACTTATCATAGTTATCTTTCAGGAAGAAATCATAGATAATTTCTCCTGGTCCAACAATTCACGTCTTCTCTGTCTAATTTGTGGATTAATATTATCTGTTTAGTTTTTCATGTATTATTGTATGTTTGAGTTATAGGACTTCTATTTCATTTTTATTCAATTGTGCAGTGTCTCTTTTACATTATTTGAAACATTTAACCTTGTCATTTATCAACTTAATAATAGAAAACAGTGTTGTTTTATAATTTCTGTGTAATGATTTCGACATTTGGGGCCTCTGTACTTCTGTTTGCATCATCTCTTCTTTGTGCTGATTTTTGTTCATGTTGCCACAGCTCCTCACCAATCCAGTAATCCTTGATTATGTGCTGGATAGCGTATGTAAAAAGGTTATAATAAAAACAATTTGAGTTTTATGGGTACTCTTCCCCCAGAAATGATTTTTCTTTGTTTCTGCCATGTGCCTCTGGGTAGTAGCAAATCATAGTATATGCAATGTAATTTCAGGAACTGGAATAATTGGGACAGTCTAAGGACTTACATCAGGGCTGCATTCTAAGCCCTTTCACTCACACTTGTAGAGTTTAGCTCTTAAGGAGCCAAACGAAAGCACAAGAGTTATAATGGGGTCACCATTCCATGCAGGCCAAAACTCTGCCTGCCTGGCCTTGAACATCATCGAAATGCCTGCTTCATGTCTTATTTATCTCTTATGGATTGGAAAACGTTTCTGGGGCAATAGTGACCCCAATTTCCATTGTCACCAATTTATTCTAGATTGCTGAGTAATTCTTCATAATCACATAAGATCCCCCTTGCCTTTGGGGTAATGATTGATGGTGTTTTTTGTTGTTGTTTTTTGTTTTGTCGTGTTAAGAGATCTGAATTTTCTCCTTCACCATTATAGGAATTAGATACTCTCCACATAAAATATAAATGAGATTCTAGTTTCTGCTCTGTTATTCACTAGTTGCTTTAACCTTCAATTCTTTATTTGTAGTCCATGGGCCTGCTCCCTCATATATAAAAGGAAGGATTTGAGCAGAGTTGCTTGTGACCCTGCAATTCAGTTTCTACTTGATTAGTACAATTTACTCTAAATCACTGAGCAGATTTTAGGATAAGGAGCCCAAGTAGAAGAATTAGAAAATGCAGTGATTATTGCTTTTCCTACAGCTAAGAGAACCTGGAATATGTTTAGTGTTAGTAAGTATTTTAAGAAGAATTGGAAGGAAAGCTTCCCAGCTGTAGACTTGTTAACGTCTTTTTATGCCAAGGAGTCACCCACCACCGTCGTGGATGTCAGTAGAGTGAGGCCATGAATCCCATTACAGTCCTGTCTTTCCTGAGATGGGGTAGGAACAGGAAGACACTGACATCAGTCTGGCTAGCAGAATCTTAGGAAACTTTATTAGTCAGCCCATCAGCTTTGTGGAAGCTACAAAATTAGGATTTCAGGATCCATGCCAAGGAGTACATTGGATAAAGTTTTATAATAATCAAAGAGATCCCTGCCCCACATGCAATATTGCATAAAGCGGTTCCATTACTATAACCATATGTATCTGATGATGGGAGTTAACAAGCACAGTTAACAGGGAGATCTCTGCCCCTCTTTTTGCTTAACAGTCTCTCCTACTACATATTTCTTTTTGCAGTTCTTGGAATCTTTTGTGATAAGATGCCTACTTTTTGATGCCTTGTGATAACACACAAACTAAATATGAGGTAGGTTAAAGGAAAATAAAAAAGGGAAGATTAAAACCAAGTAGCTCTATAATGGCTGAAAAACAGAAGGGCTGTAATGGAATACTAATCCTGGGGAACAAAGGGTCCGATACACTGGCCAAGGCAAATATGTCTTCATAATCCAACCCTTAACAGTCTGCTCTCCAATATTTCAATTGAGTAAGTTTTTAAGTCTCCCTTAAACAATCAGAGCATCTCTGTTGTATGGCTTCCAGAAGTCTATCTGTGAAACAGATTACAGCTTTATAATTTTCCCCATGGCTATCAAGAGAGTATAGCAGTTCCACAGATTACTACATTGTGAAGAATCTCTACATTTGAGTGATGCGTTCAAAAACAATCACTAAAATTTTTCAGTATAAAAAAGGAAAAGAGATACCCATGCCAAAGATCATAGATGTAAACAGCCAACACAACTGACCTCACAAAGGAAATAAAATCTTTGTTTTGAGATGGTAGTTTTATTACTGAAGATACATAAAAATTATCACCATTGAAAGTGGGCGTAGTGAAGCCCTGAGCTTGGTCTTGTATTTCCAAGACTCTAAGGAGAAGCAAGTCTGCCTAAGAAGAGGATGTTAGTTGAGGGGTTGTGTCGTATGAAAAAAATGAATGGATGGTCAACCACAAATTGTTCCTCTGGCATAAGCATCTTGAAAGTCACAACGCCTGCTGTGGCGGCCGCCGCCTCTGTTCCCTCCTCATTCACTTCTACGAAAGACTTGTGGACAATTTGTGATACAAAAAGATCTCTGGCTCCTGACATGCCAGACAGATCAGCCTTGCTATTAAAGAGATCCTCTACACCCAGGCGGGCCAGGGGAGAGTTGAGGTTGTAGCTGTCTTCCAGCTTGAACCTGGGCAGGTGGACATTGACTTCAATGAGATGCAGATTCTCAGGTCTGGTCCACTCATGCAGTTTTTCCAAAGTCAGCTGTTCCTCAATCTGGAATGAGAATGGGCCAAAGAAGAGGGGAGAACAGTTTCATGTAAGGAAACAAACCTTTATTTATTCATTCATTCATTCATTCATTCATTCATTTAAATCCTCACTCGACGATATTTTTCTTCTGATACAGTGGGAGGGAGAGAGAGAGAGAACATCGACATGAGATGGACATGTCGACTGGTTGCCTCCCAGAGACCCTGACCACGGCCAGGGAATAAACACAGCTGAGGTATGTGCCCTTGACCAGAATCAAACCTGCGACTCTGGCGCGCAGGCAGATCCTCTACCACATAGCCAAACCATCCACTGCAACAAAGCATTATTTAAAAGAAGGGGCTCATAATATAAGTTGCTAATTATTTTCCTTCATGTTTTATGCCAAAAAAGATTCCATTTGGAGGATTTCTTTTTTTTTTTCCAGCAATTGGTGATAACAGAACAGAGCTGAGTTCCAAGCCATCAAGGGCCCAACAACAGGGACTTTGGACATTGGATCCATGACTGATCCATCCTTCCACCCACCCACCCATCCATCCAGGTCATCTGATACCCCTGCCACACTGGAATACCAAAACAGCCACAATGGATGTTATTACTTTAACTGCTTCACTGGTGGAAGGAAATTTTAAAACTTTTCTTCTATTTATTCCACTCTATTTATTCTCAACACTACTGATAACTGTGGTTATCTGTGAACCTCACAGTGCTGAAGAAATCTCCAATAGGTTTATCTCCTAGGTAAAAATAAAAAAGTGCTTAGTTCCTGATCTAAAATGGGGGAGGGTGTAATTATTGTACCTACTTATAGCATTGTTGAGAACATTAAATGAGTTAATGTATACAAAACAACTTGACACATCCTAAGAGCTATAAAAATGTCAGCTATTATCATTACTATTGTTACTACTACTGGACCAGAATGGAAACATTATTCCACTTGTTCTATTGATGCTGATTATCCCTTTCATGAGGCTAGAGGATTTCTTTCACAATAACAGAAGAGACATATAAGGAAATGCAATTAAATTAGGAACACACTGATTTTAATACATACTTCATACATGCAAACGACCAGTATTAGACCCCTTCCTGATAACAAGTGTGATTACGAAGACGGTAGAAAAAAGCACACAGAAGCCTAAAGACACTAAAGAAAAACTATAAGCTGCAGTTTTACCTAGTCCTAGCCAAGCAAGAAATGTCACCACCTTTAAATTAATTAAAATAGAAACATCATACCAAGTTTATATTGCAATATAGGCATAGCTATCAAGCTAATGAGAAACATGAGCCTTTTATACCATTGTATCTCTCAGAAAAGTAATTCATACTTTATATGAATAATGATGAAATTGAGCCATATGCAACAGCATTTCCTACAAGAGGAAACTATGTACTATGAATATTTAGGGTCTTTTTAATTTAAATTTTCAATGGACAAAACACTTCTAACTTTACTGCACTTTTCTCTAAAGTTCCCTTAAGTGAGTTTCCATGAGCTGCCACTGACCCATGTTCAATAATATAGATCGTTAGATGTCCCCACCACAGCTGTGCAGCGACAGGAGCTGAAAACCTAAACGTAGGGCTTCAGAGTAGCAAACATTGATGGAAGAAATCTCAAAGGGATGACAGTTTGGGAAGGAAAGTCCAGTAACATCATGACAAGGACCTACCACAGGACATACACACAGGCAGCATCGCTGTGTCAGAAGGAACACGAGGCCTGAGCCCAGGAGCCCTCACCTGCTTCAGACCCGTGGCCTCGTCCTCGATGTCATCTGGCAGCAGGATGACCATGCTGAGCTCCCCGCCTTGGTAAGGCAGTTCCAGCACACGGCACTTAAGCTCCTCGATGTAGCCATATGGAAATTTCTTCTTCTGATACATCATTTTCACTGTTTTTGTGTCTTTCTGGAAAATTGAGAAGACAAGTCACTCACATTATTATCTGCATTCTTTAGAGCAAAGAGTAATTTCATAATTGCGACCCTCACCTTATTCAATCTGAAGGGCGCATCGGTCGTGGCCTTTTCACTGAATTTCTCCTGCCAACTTCCTTTGAAATAGATGGCATTAACCAGCACCAGTTTAGTCATATCATCAACCACGCCTGCAGCCAGCAATTCTGGAATTTTCCCTGAAAGATAAAGCAAGCTCAAAAAAACAGCTCAATATCAGAATTCTATATTTCAGCTGACATTTGATCAGCACTAAAATGCAATTCAAATACATTTTTTTATTTAATTTTTGTTAACATGTTAAGTTAGGAATCCCTTCTAGGATGTTTCAACTTTAAATAAACCACTAAAGGGTTTCAGGTCTAAAAACAGGAAACTTCTTTGCAGTGTATGAGAAACAACAAGCCTACTTCAGTGAATGGCCATTCTTTTCAGGCACAGAAGTATTCCTTAGTGAAAAGGATTCCGGGCACTAGTAAATACATCACTTGTGCGAATCCTCCAGGTGGAAGCTACTCTCACAGAAGGTGTTAACACACACGCAGCGGGTAGGACCGTGACTCCACTGCAACACGAGTCCCCCTGTGCCCACAGCGGGCGTGAAGAGCCAGGCAGGGGAGGCGGGTCAGCTGGTCCTCGGCCCTTCCTTCAGTGGGGCAGAGAGAGCTGAGGGGACCGCGGGGCACGGCCAGTCCCCCCGCCGCCCTGAGCGCGTCCACAGGGTGTGTGCCGGGTATTCCTGCCACGGCACTTTGTGCCACAAGTGTGACAATATTCTTTTCCGTGATTGGGGCCAGGCCAGGTTTTCCTCAAAGCTTTATCCTTGTGACTCCACATTCAATGTTAGGATTAATCTTAAATTGTAGATTTGTGAACTTATGGGGAGAAAGTTCAGCTGCTTCAGCGAAACCGTGTGTAAGTTTCCACTTTGAGGAGTTTCCTCAGTGGACAGCTGTGTGGCGCTGGGCAGGGGCAGACTGACCCCAGGGCCAGGATGAGGCAGAGGAAAGGGCCGGGGGTCACCTGAAGGTGGGAAGGTGGAGGGAGGACAAGAAGGACCAGGTCAATGAGTGCGTGGGGCCCACTCTCTTACCGTCTGTCTGCCCTTTGACCCACTCGTTGATCACGCGTCTGGCACCTTCAGAGGCGCGCTGGAAGTCCACACTCGCCAGGTCAGCGCCGTACGCCGTCCGAGTTGCAGCTAAGAACTCCTGTTTGAAAAGCAAGGAACCAAATGTCACGGATAACTCCTGCTACATGCAGAAATGTTTCCAAAATCCTTAGAAGCAACAGAAATGGTGTTAAAGGCATAAATTTCAATGTAACAAAAAAGTTCTAACCCTTATACTTTTTGCATTACAGTAAAAAACATGTAACATTAAACTAACCATTGAACCACTTTTAAGGGTACAGTTCAGTAGTTTGGTGGTGTATAAAATTTACCTCTTCTTTTCTAACCTTTGACCAACATGTCCCTATATAAGTACATACTGATTATTCTTGGAACTGAATTATGAAATTCACTTTTGCTGGTCAAACAGTCAGGGTCAGTCTTTCCCTGTGAAGACTATAAAATGAAATCATATCAATTAATGGGGATACTCTCATGTTTTAATTCTATATCATTTTTCTGAATGTTTATAAAAATAAATCTGACTTCTGTGCCTTGGTGTGCTGAAAAGTGTCCTCATGGTCCAGTGAGGTTAAGAACATGAACGTGAAGTACTTACAGGGAGGAAATGGTAGCTTTTTTCTCCGTATAACCTGTTAGCAAGTTTCAGAACGTAGGGAGCTCCACGCTTGTTGATGTCCGCATTCAGACTCTGAAATCCTGAATGAATCTCCTTAACCCCATCAAAATGAAGAGTCTAAAACAAAGAAAACATTCGTGCTGTAACCACTTACTCTGAACCGGTGTCCTTGGCATTTGCTTCTATCAAATTAATGTGTTTTTGTTACTAATGATTGATAATACCCAGCCCTTTAAAGTAATTCCCAATACCTTATTACTTTTTCATTGGAGAAAAAAGAATAGCGAATGCAAAATTTATAACTTTCTAAGACATAAAAATTGCATTAGGAATGGTTTTGATATCACTTTTTGTTATATAGTAACGAGAGCATGAGTGGTTAATGAGGTAAATATTTAGAGATGTCTGTTTTATCCCCTAAAAAATGCTAATTCGTATGTTCATATGCAAATTCCATATCAAATACAGTATCACAGGAAGATCTCAGCTCAACAGAAGACATAAGAACCCTCACTATGCGGGAACACAGAGACACTACAACATGGGCGGTTTCAAACTCACACCAGGAGCACAGGTAACTCATTTAAAAATAACATCTATAAACTGCACATTTAGTAAAAGTTTATTTCCTATGTTACAAATCAAGCATCCCTTTATGGATTTATGATACCTGGGCTGGTTGTTTACTTCAGCACACAAAGAACACACCACACAATGCACAAAGTCCAGTCACTCACCGAGCTGTGTCATGTTTGCACAGTTGCTATGATTCATCTACTCTAATGGAAATATGGAGGGAACCCCTAAATCTATTCTTGCTGAGGTAATACAGTCCCTGGAACAACCAAATAATAAAAGGCTGATATTACCCTACAAAGAGCAACCAATTAATAACCAGGGGTTAAAAAAATGGGTGGATTTTGGAAAACTTAAAAATGCTTTTATGTCGGTAGTGATCAATATGGTTGGTTTTCAGAAATTACAGAAATAGAAGCTTTGCGGCTGGATCAGGTCGGTAAGTGGAAACCAGGGCTGGGCCTTCCCCAGTTACAGGCACCAGGTAATCTGACCGGTAGGTGAGAAGACCTTCACTTGTGGGACTTCTTTCCCCTGCTTCCGAGGAAAGCCCAGTTCCCCTCTCAGAATTAAACAAAGAACACAGCACAGAAGTGCCCTCCATGCCCATTAGGGCCAGGTGGAAGGCTGGGCATAGCTGCTTCTCCTGCTGTAAGGGTGACCTGCTACACCAACCGAGGCTTGGTTCTGTCCCTGCAGATGCTACACCTCACCTGTCTCCTCTCCGTGCAGGGCCCTGCTGCCCACACAGGCACTTGGTGCCAGCCCAGGGCTCGGCCTCAGGGTACAAATCACAAGGTCACCTCTTCCCTCAAGAAGGTGACACCACCAGCTTCTCCAGTGTGGTGCCTTCCCTACATGCCCTTTTGTGCGTAAAATATAGACAGGCATTATGTATGAATGGCGGGTCACATGCAAAGCAGAAACTGAACCGTCTTCATCCAGAAGGAGATGCTGCCAAAGGTTTGCCCACTGGAATAGAAACAGCACACGACAGGGGTTTGGGCAGCTTTCTTCACTGCTGTGTCCTCAGCCAAACTAAAAACTGTGCCTGGCACACAGCACATGCTCAGTAAAAACTCAGTCATGAATCAAAGCCTCCATAAAAAGGAACTGTTCACCAGGCTGGAGTGACTCAGTGGATGAGCATCATCCCATGGACTGAGAGGTCCCAGTTCGATTCCTGGTCAGGGCACATGCCTGGATGTGGGTTGGAACCCAGTAGGGGCCATGCAGGAGGCAGCAGATGGGTGTGTCTCTTTCTCATGGAAGTTTCTATCTCTCTCTCTTCCTCTCTCAAAAGTCAATAAAAACATATTTATACTTAAATAATGAATTGCTCTTGAGGCTTTTCTGAAAGTCTGGCCTCATAACGTATGGCTGTGGAACAAAGAATTCAGTTTTTAAAATACCCCATGAAAGCTCAAAGCACAACACTTTAGCGCAGACTCGCCGGGAACCAGACTACTTTGTTTGTTTCTGCTGACCTTGGACATCTGTGCGGCAGTAGCGCCTCTGGCCCCCAGAAAGACCATGGCCAGCGCGGATGAAATGCTGATGGGAGAGATGAAGGTGTTTCCAGTAGGGTTCTTCTCATTCAGGGTGCGGAAGAGGTCCAGTGCAAACCGGGTGTTTGCCACACTTAGCTGCTCCATGGTGAGGGCTGCAACGCAGAACAGAGGCCCATGTACCCCAGGAAATTAGGCAATGAAATTTCTCCATGTCTTCCTCACCCTGAAACACCCTGGAACTTGTAAGTTTTTTTCGAGAGGGCAAGAACACTGTCATGAGCACAAAGGTGGGAACTAGATGAACACGCCAAGAAGCCATCAGAGACCCAGGTGCAGGACCCAGGTATACTAACGGGCTCCGACCTGGCAGACATAGCAGCCAGGACTGGCCCTTTCCTACCAAGTTTGGGAACACACCTACTTCCCACCATTTACCTGAAACAAGAATGTTTGTATTAGAAAATCATAGCCACCACTATCCATTAAAGGAAATTCCAGTAAAGTAACATAATTATCTTCATTCTCAGGATTCGGTTGCTAACTTTTAGAGAGGCTAAGGATCCCAAGTGTCATATCTGGTGGAGGATAAGAGAGTATGAGAATTCAGCACAGGTCCCAGGGTCAGATGGTGCAGCCCACCTGGGGAAGGTGACAAGCATCCTCTGTGACACGCCCTGGGGGTGAGGGTGACCAGGCCTCCACCTCAGCTCAGCAGCCCCCTTAGGAATCCTGACTCCTCTCAGAGCCTTCGTTTCCCACATACTGGCCAGGAAGAACTACTTGTGCTGTTTGCTTCCCGTGTAATACATTGAATTATTACTGTTGTCCTCGGAAAGGAATCTCTAGGGTCCCTCCCTCCCTCCCTCTGCAGCAATGAGAAGCGATTCTTCTGGGGCTTCCTAGAATCTGTCACAAACAGCTGTGGGCGGAAGGGAGTTCCCAAAGGAAGGAAAATATTCCCATCTCAGGCTTCAGCTCTGGTTTCAGCCACAAAGCTCTCCCTTCCCTCCCTGGCAGGCTGGCAGTGGGGCAGGTGAACCGGGTCGCCCCGGGGGTGTGGCTCACGGCCTTGGGCTGGGGCCCCTGAGGCTCAGGTGGGCAGCGCAGGGCGCAGTCCCCGGGAACCGGCAGCTGCTGAGGTGACTCCGGGCCACGGAGGGCCAGGGAGGTGCAGGGCGGAGGAGGCTCTCAGATCCAGGCCCTGGGCCGCCCTCCCCTGCCGGCCCGCTCAGTCCCACTGTCCTAACGGGCCCCATGCCCGGCCTTACCCGCTGCTTGCTGCCTGGGCGGGAGCCTGAGTCTGGCACAGAGGGCAGAGCAAGCAGTGTCCTCAGGTAGTGGCGGAAGAGGAAGGCAGATGCCCTGGCCTTGGGAGATGCTGTGCATTGGTGGATGGGTGGGAAACGGGGCGGGCACACAATGGGCCCTCCCCCTAAGTAACTTCCCAGGCTCTGGGCATTGTCATGTAGAAGCCAGTTGAGGGTGGACTCCCTGCAGTGGCCCTCAGGAGATTTGCACCTTTTCAATCTAGGCAACCTGACATCTCTGGCAAGGACCTGATGGTCTAGTTCTTGCCTAAGAGTGAGTGACTTGAGAGAACATATTGCGTCACCTCTTATGGGGCAAACTAGCCCCTTCTGAATCTCATCTATATACTCCAAATTCTGGTTTTTGTTTGCCTGTGTGGTGGTGTGCTGGCATGTTTATAACCCCATAACTGATGATTGGGAGTCACTGTATGCCCTCTAGCTGAACCTGTTTAGTCAAAATAGCCTCAATAAATTGGAATACTCCCTGAACCAAAAAATTTTTGGGAGCCGTCTACGCATCTGACAGAGTCCACGGAGCCTGGAGGTCTTGAGTCAGAGACTCCACCTCCCCCACGACCTCAAGGAATTAGGCTTGCATTGTGTTTGTGCAGCTCGGGGCTAAGTGTGACCCAGTGTACCTTGAAATACCTAAAATAGCTGGGTGTTCTGGGTGTGCCTGGGTGTTCCTCACTGTTCCTGGGTGTGCCTGGGTATTTCTGAGTGTTCCTGGGTGCGCCTGGGTGTGCCTGGGTGAGCCTGGGTGTTCTTGTTATGCGTAAAGCAAACTAATTCTATGCAGCATTGCTGTGGCCCTGGGCATTATATCAAAAAGGTCCAAGTTTCTGTAGGTATAAAAGGCATATCGGGGCTGATTCTGAAGACCGTCTGTCACAGGGGTGTTCGGAATCAGATGCCGGCGGGCTAATGAATGGCTCTTATTTGGACTTCAATTCTCTAGTGGTCTTTCTTTAACGCTGTTGCACCACAGCATTTGGAGGCCCTAGGGCTGATCTTCGAGAATTCGGGATCAGTCACCTGGCTGGTTTTCTCTCTATTTGGCTTTAATTTGGCTCTGGTGGTCTCTCAGGTCTCTGGCACCATAACAGTGGGGCAGGCAGTGTGGGGACCTGGAGGATAAGAAACAGAATCAGGCTGTCAGCTGATGATCACCGGCATCAATACACACCAACAGGAATCCCTATTTCCGGTGTGGGGAAGCAGGAGATTTTGTTCAGTCAAACAATTCAGTTGTGATACAGCACAGGGTGAGAACAGCCCTGCTGTCAACAGCTCAGTAGTGTTACAGCTCACATATAAATCAGCTGTGCAAGGTGGTCCCCTCTGGCAGCCAGCGGGCTCTGCTCCGTTCTGCTCCAGTCCAGTGTCTTCTGTTTCTTCAGGAAACACAGGCTTGGTGCAAAGGGAAAGTGGCTCCCAGAGCCAGAAAGAACCTGCCTTATGTAGTGAGGAGTCACTACTGCTTATCTCTAATTGATCCATCCTCAGGCAGAGGAAGATCTACAACCTCACAGCTTGATTGCTCCAAAAATCACTGTGCTGATTAGTCAGAATGAAGCGGCTCTAATTGGTTAGTGAAAATGCTGATGAGGCCCTTGCCGGTTTGGCTCAGCGGTTAGAGCGTCGGCCTGCGGTCCTGAGAGACCCGGGTTCGGTTCCTGCTAAGGGCATGTACCTCGGTTGCAGTTTGTCCCCGGCCCTGGTCGGTTGTGCGGGTGGCAGCCACTCGATGTGTCCCTTTCACGTCGATGTTTCTCTCTCTCTCTCTGTTCCTCTCTCTCCCCACCCCACTCTACCTGAACAAAAAATGGAAAAATGTCCTCGGGTGATTGTCCTCGGGTGAGGATAAAAAAAAAAAAAATGCTGATGAGGCTATAGGTGCACAGCTCCAATTGCAAGGGGACAGCCTCAGTCCCACTGGTTGAAATGGGATTCCAGGAACTCCTCTGCAGGGGCTGGCTCAGCTGCAGGAACACGGTGCGGGCAGGCAGTCCAGTGTGGGAGGCAGTAGTGAGGCCCTCGTGTAAAAATGACTGCTAGGCCCTGGGAGCCCATTCTAGCAGGTCTTCTTTCCCAGGGTCCACACTGGGGAGCCAACAAAGTGGGAAAGGCTGTAGAATTGGAGGCCTGCCTTTGGGGACATTCTCTCAGTTGTTACCCCTTTTTGGGGTGCTGGTCTACGTCAACTGTCCTGCAGCTTCATTTCATTCCCTTAATGATCTGCTTTTGCTAAACTGAAGTTTTTAATTTTTACTTGGTTCTATTTACATCAAAAAAGTCCCAATGCCTAGGAATGGAGCTAACAGAAAAAAATGTGTGAGTGTGAACTGTTAAGAAATCATTCTCCCCACAAGTACTTAAAGATATATTCTTACATTATCTTCTAAAACCTTTGCTGTTTTGCCCTGGTCGGTTTGGCTCAGCGGTTGAAGCCTCGGCCTGCGGACCAGAGAGTCCTGGGTTTGGTTCCCCCCAGGGGCAGGTACCAAAAAAAAGAGTAAAACCTTTGTTGTTTTGCTTTGACAATACACCTTGCTCACAGGTTTAATGCAGAAGTCAACTTTAATATTGTTCTTTGTGGGTTTCCAAATGTTCCAGAACAATTTATTGAAAACTTCCTCCCTTCACTATCAACTTTGAAGTACCACATTTGTCAGAAATATGATGGCCATATGATTTATTATTTAATTAATTAAATTTTGAGAGTAAAAGAGGGCACTGCTGATAATTACAATAGAACAAGAGACATAAACAGGCTGTTTTGAACAAACTGGGATGATGATCACTCATCACAAAGCAGGGTTCATATTCCTGGGCTCTCTGTTTTGTTCCATTTATAACCATCTTTGCACCAAAACCAACTTTATCTTATTTCTGAAGCTTTAGAATAAATTATTATTCTGTTGAGTATGTCCTTTCATCTGGTTCTTCAAGATTGTTTTGGACATTCTTGGCCTTTTACCTTGTCGTATAAATATTAGAACCATTTGCGCCCTGGCCGGTTTGGCTCAGCGGTTAGAGCATTGGCCTGCGGTCTGGAGAGACCCGGGTTCGGTTCCCGCAAAGGGCACGTACCTTGGTTGCAGTTTGTCCCCGGCCCTGGTTGGGTCCTGTGGGTGGCAACCATTCGATGTGTCCCTTTCACGTCGATGTTTCTCTCTCTGTCTCTCCCTCCCACTCTATCTGAACAAACTATCAAAAAAAAAAAAAAAAATTAGAACCATTTGCCATGTTTAACCAAAATCAAAACAAAATGCCTCTTTTTTAAAAAAATTAAAACTTCATTAATTATGTGGATCAATTGACATATTTAAAATAATGACTCATGACCATGGCATAGCTCTCCATTTATTTAGAGCTTCTTTATTTTCTCTCAATTTCCTGTATAGAAATTCTTAACATCTTTCGTTGGATTTATGCCTAGGCATTTGAACATTTTTGACATCATTATAAATTTTTTAAAAACATTTTTAAAAACACTGTATCACATAGAAATACAAATTAGCTGTGTAAATTGCACACATAACCAGCAGCACTTTCTTAGTTCATTTTTAAATTCTAATAATTTAAACTTTAGATGAAAATACTCATCTGAAATATTATATGATTTTCTCTTACTTTCAAATGACTTTATATTTACATTTCTTGAGTTACTATATCAGGCAAGATCTTCATTAAATTTAGAATAAAGTGACGGCAGCTGTAGGGTTTGGGGTCTGATGAATGAACAAAACATAACCTTGAGATATGCATTCTTGAAGCCTGACCAGCCAAAGACAAAACTGTGTGTAAGAAACATCGGGTTGGAAAGCCGCCCACCAAGGGAGTGAATGTGTAGCCAGAACAGTAAGAAAGCTGTGTCAGCAGAGATGCTATCTCAAGGACTTGATTACCTAACGCACACCATAACCAAAGGAACTGCTTTGCAAATGAATCGGGCTGCATCCAGAGATCAGGAGCATATGCTCCCTTTCAGTGCTCCCCCTCACTCCAAGCCATGTCTCCCTGTAGTTCATTGCATTGCAATGACCCAGCATGCTGAGATTCAGCAGGTGGCACACAATGTCAGGCACAAATACACACACTAAAGTGACTGAAATACCCAGGGACATTTTTCTATGTGACCAGTAAGGTAATGGTATGCAAAAGGGAATTAGAAAGGGAACTAGAGATCCCGATCAAAAGTAAAACTTTGCTGGGGTTATCTCATCTTAAGTCAGCGACACCCAGCTTGGGATAGCTGCCAGCATACCTAGTGACCATGAGGGGATTTCCAGTAAGACAGCTACGGTCGGGACTTTCTAAAGGTCAGCAACTTTCCCTGCAAGTCTTATGCCAGCTGCTGAAACCAGCTCAATGCTCCATATCGAGCAACAGCTCTTGCA